CATTCAAGTAAAGGGATTTTTCCAATAGTCAGAAAGTTGCTGTGACTAATTTCTCAGAGAGTACTTCTCTTGGTGTCACTTATGAGCTTATAGCAGAGGCTTCTTGCTGAGTATGTCCCCTCCTATGCTGCATATCTGGAAAGTGTCAGCAGTGAAACTGGGTCACCTAATTCCAGAAAGAACCCCTGATGTCTGGTTTCTGTGTTCAGAGAAACCACTTCCCGGTTAAACGTGAAATATTCATATCAGCCTGTGTGGGCAGTATAAAATTGGCCTAGATGTGAGGACTTCCATTCTATCAGCCTAATCCAGCTTTGTTTTTAATACAGTCATAGCCCATTTATCTGATTCTACTTTGTAGATGCACATTGACCAATGGAGAAACTGAGATTTAGTTGGGCATATTGTCATTGAACACCTCAGTGCCTAAGCTGCTGAGTGTGTGTAAATAACGAGATTTGTTACTGCCTTATTGTGGGCACATCTGCTAGAATGAGACTGTTACAAAACAATTGCATTCCAGAGAATCAAATGGACTACAGACCTCTAGAACATTTCCATCTCTAGTAGAATTTAGATTCACTGTAAAATCTGCTGGGGTTATATAGAGAACTTAAATTCTACAGAAAAAGTATATGTACATGCGTGTGTGTGTGTGTGTGTGTGTGTGAAATGTACATGGCTTTGATAACTGGGATGGTGGGCAGAAAATTGGTAGATTCTATTCATTTTTTTAAAAATAGTAATATCTAAGGACTATTTATTCTCCTGTTAATAGTATTTTGTAGTGAAAGGTTGTTACTACTTTGTGCAGTGTTGAGCAACCCTCAACCCTTTTGCTGTGTTAACATCTCTACGTTATCACTTTTATTTGCAAGGCATATTTCTGCTGCAGAACTTGTAACACTGAGAAACATTTAATGAGTTATCAGCAAACACTAAAGATAAAAAGAACTTTGATTGAATTTCATAAGCTGCTTAAGATTCCTGTGTTCTGAGATTGCAATGAATGTTTACACTTCTGTTAATAAAATTTTATCAAGCAGACGACAGGTACCAATTAAAAGCAATCACAAAGTATATTCTTTCCATAATCCCTGAAGTAGAATCTTTAGATGCTGGTTTGCAGAAACATCACCTGGCATGGGCTAGCTTTGATCTTCAATAGCTTCCACAGTCTGTAGGATTTCAGCCATTCCAATGTGGGAGAACCAGAGGAAATAGAAAATAACCTTTGGTGTTTGCTGAAGCATGGAGGAACATCAGCTTGTGGTTCAAGCTGCTGAAACAGTAGATACCAGTGTTAGCAGAGAGTCTGAGCTGTGGCAGCAAATAGATCCCCACGTGTAAAAGGGCTCAGATGCGGTAGAATTTTGTTTTGTACTCATCTAAACTCCTAGTGGGTATTTCTGCTTACAGGTTGACTGTCATCCATGTAGAGCCATAAGGACCAAGTCATCTTATGGCTTCACCATCATAGTCACCTTCGGCATTCGGCCTGCAGATCCACTTCTTACAAGGCTTGGCCTGGAAATACTGCACATCCTTTCTGCTCACATTCCATGGCCTAGAATTCAGTCACAGGTGCATGCCTGACTTCATGGGAAGCAAGAAAATAGCATAGTGCTGAGCATCTAGAAGAAAATAGGAATTTGATGAGCAGCTGGGCATTGCCATAATACCTAAGTATGATTCCTATGAGACAATTCCTTTTGGAGAAAGACGTTTGAAAAGGGCTTGTCTGTGGTTCTGCCTTGGGCCTGCTATATTCTGGCTAGCGTCAGGCTATGTGTCCAGCGAAAGGGAAATAACAAGAATTGCTGTAAGTTTTCTGGGAATATATCTTAGCTTAGATCTCCTCTTGCCAGCCCAGCCTTTTTACTGGCTCTATCTACTAGTGAGAACCATGAACTAAGCTGCTCCTACACTGAGGGAAATTCACATATTCTCTGAGTGAACATATTATGTTTTGCAACGTTTTTATTGTATATAATTGTGAATATATATTGTACATATGTGTTTATATATAATGTACACATGCATAAACACATACATTACTCTATGCATGATATTATACAGTTCAATAAAGTGTAGAACAATGTAGGGTCATAGGTTCCCTTCACAATTTATTTCAATCAAACACTTGATAAATCATTCCATTTTTAAAGTCTTAGAAGGCAAGTATGTAAATCTACCTTGGAAATTCCTCCTAATATTCAATAGCATATGAATTTCGAGAATAGTCCTTATCAGCAGTTGGGTCCTCTGTTTCACTGACAGTGAATCTAGAAGGCAGACACTTGGCATGAGTCAATTCACATCAATCGATTTGCCTGGGAAAGGGCTCCATCCAAGGAAGTTTTGTGTGGGCCTGTGGCTGGGTGGGAGGGGCAAGGGTGGAGAATGGGAAAGCTGATCCCTAATTTTGATCCCAAAATTTAGTATTTGAGCTCTACGAAGGAGGGCAGAGAAGCTGAAGACACTGTGTTCCAAACGTACTCTGGAGCTTTCGAGCCATAGGTGACAAACACGAGGAGGAATCTTCCTCCCCTCTCTGGCTTCCTCACATGATGGTGGTAGTGAAAGCTTCAGGGTGATAAAAGAAAAACTTCAGCTGAATTAAATTTAAAGGAGTTTAATTGAGCAATGAACAATTCATGAACTGGGCAGTCTCCAGAATCACAGCAGATTCAGAGAGACTCCAGAGATGCCTCGTGGTCAGAACAAATTTGTAGACAAAAAAGATAAAGTCATACAGGAATTGGAAGTGAGGTACAGAAATAGTGAGATTGGTTACAGCTCGGCGTTTGCCTTATTTGAACGCAGTTTGAACATTCAGCAGTCTATGAGCGGTTGAAATATGGCCGCTGGAATTGGCCAACACTCAGCTATTGTTACAGATGTATACTATTAAGTTAGGTTTTCAACTTTGTCTGACTATTAAGCTAGGTTACAGTTCATCCACAAGGACTCAAATATAGACGTACAGAGTCCTTCTCAGGCCATATTTAGTTTGCTTTAACAAGGACATGCAATAAATCCTTCAAGGGCACCTTGAGAGTTGATTGCCCTGAGAACCCTGGTAGAGAGCATCTTTTTCACAGACATCTGTTTTTAAATACACCCAGGATTTTGTTTTTGTTCAGGTATTGTGAGGCCAACAGATAAGGAGACAAATGCCATTGAAAAGGTAATTTGTTACTCACAGGTCCTGAAAGGAGGGATCACTCCATGCCACAGAGGGTCACATGGAGAAGCATTAGGATTGGTTAAGGGCAAAAGGAATGAGGAGAAAGGAGGGGCCAGAGCCTCTACTGTGGTTTTCAATGGAGGAAATGGGTGCAGCATGGCAAGCAGCTGAGCAGGATTAGGATTGGTTGCTTAGAATAATTTTGGCAGGCTGTGGGCTAGAGGGGTTGTTTCTAGTTGTCCAGCACCTGACCCTGGGCTTATTTGTATACCAATTGTGGGCTCACAGGCAAGTTGTCTGCTCTCTCTAGGGATTAACTGACCCTGGGAGGGGCAGTTCCTTCTCAGGTCTGCAAGTCCCCAAGATATCAAAGCATCATAAAATACAGAAAATCAAGAAAAGATGATTCATACAACATCCAAATTCTCACAGAAGGCACTGGCATAGTGGCCCTGGGGAGATGCTACTGTCAACTATCTTTAGTGTATACAGTGTCTAAAATATTTTTCAGTGAAAAAAATTAGTTATGACACCTGTTAGTTAGGCAGACTTTATTCAAGGGGGCCATGGAGATAAATACAGGGAGCACTGCAATGGGGTCTCACATTGCGGGGGAAGATTGGACTCAACTCTGTCTCTGACAAGGACAAGTGAGATTACAACCAAGATGGAAGGAGTCAGTGGGTAGAAAATTAAGAGGAAGCATCAAGAACAAGGAGTTTCTAGCTAAACTGTCACAAGAGGATCGTTGTTGAAGGTAGGCAGGCTAGGGTGATAAGATATTGAGGTGATTTTTGCTAAAGTAATTTAGCAAGACTCTTGTTAAAACTGGATTCTACAAGCATAGAGGTAAACCCAAGGTTGAGCCTAGTCAAGGAGAGGTCACGGGGATCCTGACTAAAGTGTTGGTCAAAGGAGAGAGTTTTTGTCAAGTAGCAGTGGATGTAATTAGTGAGGCATTTCAAGAGAGTCTGAAAATTGGATGTGTAATGCTTTGACTAGTCACTGTAAGTTTTATATTGAGAGGAGGCATATGTTAATAGTTGAGTTATTGCTCTTAATGTGATCCCTTTGGTATATACAGTCTCAAGAGGCCTATTGATGCAGGTGATCAAAATCTTTCATGAAGTAATTTGACCATTTTCCTGTAGATACAGGTTTAACAGAGATAGAGAACTAATTGCTAACATCTATTTTAACTTTTGGTACATCTGTTGACTCATTTGTGCCTAAGACAGCTATTTTTCAAGATGACAATCCTAACGTTTTCAGTCTTCTCTTCTAAACCTTCTAAAGGATTTATTTCTCCCTCTAAATAGAGGGGAATTAAAAATTGTAATTTAAGCACTGATAATGAAATGCAGCTCAAGAGTAACTGCTTTTCATTTAGGTACGTGTTTATATTGTAGATGAAGGCCTTTATGCAAGCCTAGTGTCCCCAGCATTAACTTAGATTCAAAATATTCTAAAATTAGAAATGTATGGGATTTTAGGGGGTTGGGACTGGAGCTAAAATTGAGGGACAGAGATGAGGCTGTAACCACAATGGATCTGTTGCCCAATGCATGAGACAAGGCAATACGTGGAGACACTGGGTTGAACCAGAAAAACAGGTTTAACTGTAGGGCCGCTGTGTAAGGAGATGGGAGGGAACCTCAAATCTATCACCTGGAGGAGTTTGGGTCTAGGGTTTTGAAGTGGGCCAAAGTGTGGTGATCATTGATTGGTTGAAAAATGTAGGGTGAATTCATGGGACAGGGAGATGAAGAAGCTGTATTCTCATGCTGATTCTGTTTCTCTGTGTTTTCAGACTGGTTGATGTCAGCTGTTTTGCTGGAATTCAGGATGTGAAAAATATCTTAAGCAACTCTTAAACAAAATCGTTATGATTCTAATGCCAGAAATCCCATCTGTAGGAACAACAGAGATGCAAATGGTCAGTATCGAGTGACTTTCATTTACAAGGAAATATGTTAAAGTGCAGCCTGATTAATGCTTGACTTTAACAGTAATGAACAGTGGTGACGGTGACTGAAAAACTGCCGTGATTTTCTGACTCAGAAGCCATATCCCTTTGCACTTCTGAAAGTTCAGTAAAACTATAAATTGCACTGAGTGGGGATTTGGAAAAATCAAGGGCAAGAGACTGTTTTGGGCCAACGAAAAAGGAGGGAAATGAGTGAGCACAAGAATGAAGCCAACTGAGTAGAATGGAGCCTGACATGACCTGCAGTACTTATGCTGCTCTCTGAGGATATCCAAATGTATTGGTGCAATGAGTTATTCCGTCATAGGGTTTCCAGATTTTACAAATGAAATACAGCATTTCCAAATAAATTTGGATTCAGATAAACAATAAGTAATTTTTTTTATTTATTGTGTCCCAGGCAATTTAGGATAATCCTGTGTTTTGTCTGGCAGCACTTCCCCTCCCCACTCTTCATATATGGAGTTTGTGAATCAATATTTTTATAAACCTGAAACCGCCTTTGCAAAATCATGACAGTAAGAGAAATCTGACATGGTTGACTTTATCTTGCTTCTGACCTTCAAGCTGTCCTTGGTCATTCCTGGGCATAGGGCAAGCTATCTTTGGGAGAAATTTAGTTTATAGTTTAACCTTAAAGCAAAGATGTAATAGCCCTTCCCAAACTAAACCACCTTTGTAAAACTAATGGAAGGCCACAAAGTTAAGATTACCACAGGGGCCTGAATTATGGTAAGATAGGTGTAGTTTCTGTAATCCTTCACTGCTCAGGACTCATGTGGCCAGAGGTCGCAAGATTTGTGACCTTCCCAATTGCTATGTCTTTCAGACTGACCCCACTGGAACTCATGACTCATGACTCAACCGATCCTGTGGCCCCACCTAGAGGTGAACTCTACATGAGGACTGTTTTGCACACTCCTATGATTTCATCCCCAACCAATCAGCAACACCCATTCCTGAGCCCCTGCCCACCAAGTTGTCCATAAAAACCCGAAGCTCCCAGCCTTTAGGGAGACTGATTTGAGTTATAACTCCAGTTCTCCCATGTGGGCCAGGCTCATGTCAATTAAACTGTCTCCCAGGCTGGGTGCGGTGACTCACTCCTATAATCCCAGCAATTTGGGAGGCCGAGGCAGATGGATCACCTGAGGTCAGGAGTTCAAGACCAGCCTAGCCAACATGGTGAAACCCCATCTCTACTAAAGATATAAATATTAGCTGGGCATGGTGGTGGGCCCCTGTAATCCCAGCTACTCAGGAGGCTGAGGCAGGAGAATGGCTTGAACTGAGAGGCAGAGGTTGCAGTGAGCTGAGATCGCACCATTGCACTCCAGCCTAGGTGACAAGAGTGAAATGCTATCTCAAAAACGAAACAAAACAAAACAAAACAAAACACAACTCTTTCCCTACTGCAATGTTGTGGTCTCGGTGAATTGATTTTGTCTGTGCAGTGGGCAGGAAGAGCCCATTAGGAGATTACAAATTTAAAAGGTCAAGGTGACCCCAGGTAGCTGAAACATTGGAGGCAACATATTCTGGTATCTAAGTCACACCTCCTTTCTCCAATTCGCATTTAAATTGAGGAACTCAGTGCAAGATTTCTTTATCATTGTCTTTTCCTTTTGGTAACTACATAGATGAAATGGCAAAGCGAGACTAAGAAGATATGTTAGAGCATGGATGTCCTGACTACAGTTAGGAACTCTTGGGTCCTAGGGAAATATTAAGAAAACTTTCGTGCAAATGAAATTTTAAGGTGATGCATACCCTCCTTTGAAAAGCATCTTAAGGTATTAGTTAAAATATGGCATCCTAGGAATATTTTCTATGAAACATAAGTACTTGGAATAGAGAGGCTAAATGTTAATCTGGAGGATATCATACATAGCAACAACTTAAAGAAAACAATTGGCAAAAAACCTCAGGGCCTTATTTTCCTAAAGCAGGTGAAATGAGTGGCATCTTTTTTTTTTTTTTGTCACAGAATAATTACTTGAAGTGAACTCAGCCTGTCTTCCATATTCCTGATAATACAACCTATAGCATTTTATAGTCATCTGGGAAATAAAGCAAGGACAATAGTTTCTGGGTAGAATTGAGTGCTTCGTTTGTCTTCCAAATGTAGTGGCTGAGAGTGGGTCGAGGAAGAACTGAGCAATGAGCGTCAAACTTGGGTCTGTTATGAATTCCAGAGCTGAGGGGCCCAGGAAGGGTGTCTTCCGGGGCCTTGCAGAGAATCTGAGCTCCTCTTATAGAACACAGATGCTCTATTGGAAGGAAGTAATTCAGATCAGAAGCTGGGTAGCATCCAGGGTCATGAACTTAGAGTTTAAAATATCTGTCTGTGACCCCACCAGCCAGCTAGGATTTCCTGCTGACCCTAGAAATTTAAAGGATTCCAAGTTGGCGCACGAGCTTGCCTCCTCCTGACACTCCAGATGTCTAACAAAGAGTTTCCATGCTTTGAAACAGGTAGCAAATGTTTTATGGGTTTGCTGTTGTTAATTAATGGTGAAGGTTAACACCCTGAATAATAGAAATGACTAAACTATCCTCCTAAATAATACAATTGAAAGGAGAAAATATGAATTCACTGACTTAGATAAATGACGACAGTAAAGAGGGATTAAAAAGTAAGAGCAGCTGTGTTTTCGTTAAAGCAAATAGGCAGCTGGAATCCATAGGATCTCAGTTTGGTCAGTGGCCCAGTAGACTAAATCTTAAAAGTGATTGTTAAGTGTTAGGAAATACGAAAACCACAAGCTAACTCTACTGGAAGAAGACATTCACTTATTTGCAATGAAAACAGAATTAACAAAAAGTGAAATTCCAAACTTGGGAATTATTTTTAAAAAGAAGCAGCCTTTGAAAGATAAGTTTTTAAACAAGATTTATCATGACTCATAGTAATATAAAATAAATATACACCAAAGATTTTGTTTAATTAATTAAGAGAAACAGTAAGTTGTGACAAACAGTTCAAAGGAAAAGTCAGAGAAATATATTTGTGTATATATGTTACCATGTATGTATTTGCATATATACATATATAAAAGATGCAGGAAATGAATTAACAAATAAATGCACAAGTGGTGTTTTACAGAGGGGTGAGAATGGAGGGTAGGAGAGAGAAATCAATTATCCTTTCACCTTGACAAAATTAATTTGCATGTCTATAGACAAGAATCATTTGCATTGCTACTAGTTATTTACGAATTACAGAGCTCTAAATAGCTCAAAAACAATGAAAGATGATAACCCCAATGAGTCAGAAAAATCTGAAATTAGACAATGCCTAGTTTTCTATCAGGGATATCTAATAATCTTGTTGGCCTATTTAAAAGTCTTTAACAACAATATTCTGCTATATGTGACACTTGAAAATGAGGCAGAAATATTACTGCAAGCCTTTTTAACATCAAACTAGAGTAGTGGTTCTCAAAGTTGGTCCCTGGACCAGCAGCAGAGGCATCATCTAGCACTTGTTAGAAATGCCAATTCTTGGGCCTCACCCTAGATATACTACTGTGGATTAGATCTAACACCCTTTCTTATCAAGCCCTCCAGGTGATTCTTATGCACACTAGTGTGTGAGGCACTGGTAGGCGATCTAACATTGCCTGCCTTACAATTGATGAGGACTCAGGCTCAGTAAAGTTAGATGTTACCTTGGTAAAGATTGAAAAGTTGCAAATGATTTTGTTTGGTAAATATACAAACATTTCTGAATTGTAGATGAGATAACAGCAAAGGCTGTGATTTTAGCATTTTACTTAGCAGTCTTATTTCAGCACTTTCTTTGGCCATATATAGTAGTTTCCCCTATCTTTGTATGAGCTTTGTCATCCCGGTGGTTTCTTTGTTAATTAGGTAAATAAATTTTCGACAAGTGCTCCCTAAATATCTTTTTGGGAATTGTGTCTTTAACTTTATAAAAATTATATTTTGACTTAATGTAACTCAAGTAGAAGGTACTTCAACCTAATAGAGGAAATGAAGTGCAATTGAGTCAATAAAAGAGTCAGGATATGAGACTGGGTTTGCTTGGAACTTTTTTGGGAACACTATTATACCATAAATCAGGCTTTACCCTAAGCTTTTCAGTGTGAGTTACATGCATATTACCTGGTTCTCCCCGTGGCCATTTCTGGTTGGATTTCTTATTTATCTATTTCTTTCTTCCTGTCACCACCTCCCACACCTCTCCCCTGCCAGCACACACACCAAATTATGCTTTGCTTCTGCAAAGGTCTGTGCCAGTTTTCTAACCTACTAGTTCAGCACATCGATTAAAAAAAAACCATATTAGGGAATAGAGAGAAAAACTGAGTTGAATTTTTATGATAAAAAGGAGGTCTCAAAGGTTTTTAATTATGCTCTGCCTGGAGCTTCGCACAAATACCTCAAGGATACTCATTAATTTTCACCTGCCTATGTAGGTAGCTTGGTGGGAAAATGTTTAAGATAGAAGGAGAGTCTTTCCAAAAGACTATCTTTGCCAACTTTCACAAAACCCTAAGGGAAGCACACACTGTATTTAAGGCAGCTTTATAGGCTGGGAAAACAAACCTAGGAGCTTTGAGGAACTCTCCTGCTGTGCTTTCAAATGAAGGAGACTTTCTACTGAATTACAGAATTTTTTATTTTCTTAGATAAAATTGGTCATTGAGGGAGTTCAGTAAGAGCCGTAGATATATTTAAAAGACGTATTTTTTCATAAGAACGATTGTGGAAAGTCTTATCAGATGAGAATGGACTGAAGAAGCATGCTATTCAGAGTGCCATAAGAGCAAATGTCATCTGAAATGTGTACCCTTCAACTCCCATGGCACACAGAAGGAAGATAAAGCAATGCAGTTGTGAATAGGAACATGTACAAAATCCTTTTGGCTCCACCTGTATTTCTCTCATGACTTCTCCACCACGGCTCTTCTGCTCTGGTTTATGAAGTTTCTATACCTTTAGACACATGAAACAGTGTCACCCGTAGACAGTTTTGTTTGGTCTGCATAACATTTAAAACAATTAGATTTTGAACGTCTTTAAGTCCCTATTTGCTTCCTTGCAAATGAGATAAGTCGGTCACTCTCTCCCAGACTATGTTGTACTTTTTTGAGATCTTCCCAATGACAACTTCCCAGTGTTCTATATGTAAGAAAATTGTTCATTAAATAAACATAGAGACATTAGTAAACCTTTACAATGAGAGAATGAGGGATAAAATGTGGTAAAGACCTTATGAAAACCATAGACTGGGGGATAGGCTAAGAGGTCATTGAGTCCTCTGCAAACTTGCACTTTCCCAGGAGCATGAAATTATCTCCTGTAATAATCCCCACATACATAACCCAAGGCCCCAGCAGATTAACTTGATTTACTCTTTGCCATATCTGCCCTGGTGGTAATACCATGGGCAGTATGACTTAATGCAAAGAATCTTTTCATCTCTGTGAAGCGTCCCATAATGTAAACCAGAGTGGTTACTTTACTTCCCTCAGCCTTTCCCTGAGACCCTGACATGCTACATAAACAAGGGAAAGGCCCCCTCAGCACATAACTCCCTACAGTAATGAACTTCAAAGACATTTGTGGTATTCCATTCAGAAGTATTTTTAATTTGGGGCAGATGCATGTACGCAAAATGACTCAGTCAGCTGTATGTGGTATTTATATTGTGAACCTCTGGTGCCCAAGTACTGATCTCCTCCTTCCTGCAGTTGTAATTTGTTTAGAGAAAGCATCTTGGGGGAGGGAGGAAGGGAGAGGGCAGCAGCACTCAGGCTGCCAGTCTGGATGTGTGTGGCCTTGGGGAAAGTCTGCTTTGAATGTGAATACTGACTGTGGATTTTCATTACCAGAAAGAATGCTCAAGGGAAACTATCAGCATATAAATTCCTTCACTTGGAAATCAGGAGGGGAAAGAATTTTCAGAGATGCCCTGCAGGATGCCTTTGTCTCTTAAGATGCATTAATGGAACTGCATCTCT